CATCTAGAGTTAGACACTCTAGGATTATTTTGTTCAAAACGATGTCGTTTTAAGGGAAATAACTCATTTTTTTAAAAAAAATGAATAATAACTAATCGGCTGACTAGGCGACCTAGCCGGTGCTTAGGAGGCCTAGGCGGTCAGCCCCTAAGCAGCCGCCTAGCCGGTAAGCGGTCTAGACCACCGATTATGGTGATACGCTAGACGGTCGGCCAGCGCCTAGCGCCGACTAATCACTAAACCAAGTACCGTAGTAAAAAAGGATTACTATTATTTTGTTTATAAGGAAGGGAAATACCCTATATACACACTACTTGCCTCAAATGAGGTTCAAACCTTTCACCTCCCACTTAAAGGAGCAACCGGATACCAGTGGACCACAAGCCACTTAGTTAAAAAAAAAAAAAAAAGATTACTATTAAGCATGAGAACGGCAATGATATATTTTTTCAAATGAAAAATTATTATTATTATTATTATTATTATTATTATTATTATTATTATTTACAAAATGTTAAACACTTTTTTATTTATACTGATATATACACTACTGGAAATTATGGAATTTCCGATCACCTGAAAGTGATCTTAAATCAAGTCGAAAGCCTTGTTTCGATTACTTTTAGTATCCGGAAAAACCTTTATTGCTATTTCCGACCACTTTTGCTTTCGACTTGATTTAGGATCACTTTCAAGTGATCGGAAATTCCATAATTTCCAGTAGTGATATATATATATATATATATATATATATATATATATATATATATATATATATATATATATACATATGTAAAATAAATTTCTCATATATAAAATATATTTATATTCGATGTGAATAAGCAAATTAAAGAAAAGAGAAAAGCTACTTCATTAGATGAATTTACACTTTGAAAAACAACACTTTTGTCACATAAAGCATGTTACTCCAAGTCCATTAAATAAGTGTGCGTTAGGTGAAATCACTAAAATGAGGTAATTCTTTCAAATTTCAACAATAGGGGTTTCAACATTGGTTCAACCCACAAACTTTTACGTTACTCATGATATCATGATTGGACAAGGAAAGTCAACTATTCACCAAGTCAAAGAGCATATATGGTGGGAATATTAAATGTATACTTCCCCACCCACACTACACTTAGGGATGACACTAGGTACCTGCACGGACTTAACTCACTGATTTACTAAGCAGTAATTGGGAGAAGTAATGGCAACGAGACGTGAGTGGAGAATATGATCCATGTTCCTGTTTCCATCTTTGCTGAAATTCTTTAAGAACAACAATTCCTTGCTCTGATTTTTTAATAGTGTAAAATTATATATATATATATATATATATATATATATATATATATATATATATATATATATATATTTAATTATATAATTAGCTTGTACATTGATATTTTTAAATATTCAATTAGCTTATTAGCCTACCATTCATCCAAATATTTCAAATAAAAGTATTTTTTAAATTTATATATAAAATAATTAATTACTTATTATATATAATAAATTAAATATAATATAATATAATTCAAAGAACCGGGGTCGGAGACAAGGGACAAGGTTCGGGGTTGGGACGGGATGGGAAAGCTCTCCTCATCCCTGGGCTCATTCCCCGTCCCCGCCCCCATCAAGATCTGATTGAATTATCATCCCTACTACCTCCATTCCCACTCACACTCCCCACACACATATATAAAGATGAATGAATTACATGATGGTTGAGACAAAATATGAGAAATAATATAAAATGCTCATATTGAATGGTTACATAGTTCAGATTTACACACTAACAATTTTGTAATCATTTTTTTAAGTTAAACTTACATAATTGCATTGGTATAAAGTTATTGGACATTTTGCACTTTCGCAGGGAAACCTTTTTCCTACCCATCTCATCTTCTCATCTATTTTTTTTTTTTTATATATATAATGCAAATCTTAGGGTTGCAAGAAAAATACTTTAATTCGTTCTAATTAATATTTTTTATTGGAAATTTTATAATGTTATGCTATAACATTTATTCAATAGGGGTTAGATCAGGTAAGATATATTATTTACAACTTGATTGATTCAAAGATTAGTTTATATTTATTAAAATTAGATAATGCAATATGTGGTCTAATGGTATCCGGGTTGGACTTCCATTTGGAAGATTATGAGTTCAAGCCTCAGTGGGAGGCGTAGGTTGAGAAAGTATATGAACAGATACTACTATGTAATAGAGCCAGTAACTTTCAAAAAAGATAATGCAATATGTACTCTATTAGAGATAAAGTTCGGGAGATTATTAGTCAAGAGAGTTGATTAACTTTTTCATAGTTTGTTACTTTGTTTTGTTCTTCATAAATACATGTAGTTCAAAGTGGGAGAGTAGGTAATGTACCACTATTTCAATAATGATCCACTCATATATTTGGGAAAATTACATCTTAGTATTGTTTTCTAGAAGAAATATGGTTGGGTCATTGATATATATATATATAGAAT